CCCCCCCCCCCCGAAATTGTCAACCCTCCCCGAAATTTTTTTCTGGCTACGGCCCTGCCTAACATGGTACATTCCCAAGGGCTGTGTGATTCCCAATTCTGAGGTATGATTTACCTCCTTAAATATGGATTTGGCCACTCGGTGTTCATAGCACCAGATCTCTAGGTACAAATGGGAGGGACCGAATAGCTGGGTAGGAAATTCTGATAGTGTAAAAATGTAAAAATTTCCAAGCTCCGAGCCTTTGTTCATATAAAAATGAGCTTTCTCTGCATCCCAGAGACATGATTTACACAGTCCTTTAAGGATCCACAGTCCTCTATGGGCCCACCATCTTCACTCCCACTTGCCCTTCATTCCTGGACATGCCTGTCATTTTCCGCCGCTGTCTCTTGCTTGTATGTCCTGCAGTCGGTTTCTGGATTGGCTTCTTTATTACTTGATTGCGTCTTGTCAGCTTTCCTTTCTTCTTTCTCTGACTCCAGGAATGCAATGAGGCAGTGAGTGAAGAGATCCTCTGAGACAGCAAAGGATCTTTAGATTTCTTAGGCAATATAGGCTGGTTGGAGACATCCCCCTTTTCCATGCCACCTTTTTCTCCCTCCTCCTGGGTGTTCAGCCCCAGAAGGCGTGCTCCTGAGAGGTCCAGGTCACTGACTGTAGTAACGGTGACGGTGTGGCCTGGGTGGTCGTAGCTCACAGACTCTGTCCGGGATGTCACCAGATGCTCTAATTCATCAGCTTCCTCTAAGGCAGTGGTTCTCAACCTTCCTAACACCGTGACCCCTTTATACAGAGCCTCATGTTGTGATGACCCCCAACACTAAAATTATTTTCGTTGCTACTTCATAACTGGAATTTTGCTACTGTTATGAATCGTTATGCAAATATCTGATAGGCAAGATGTATTTTCATTCTCTGGACCTTGGGAGTTATAGTTGCTGGGATTTATAATTTACCTACAATCAAAGAACATTCTGAACTCCACCAGAGATGGAATTGACCCAAACTTGGCACACAGAACGCCCATGACCAGCAAAAAATAATGAAAGGGTTAGGTGAGCATTGGCCTTGAGTTTGGGAGTTGTAGTTCACCTATCTCCAGAAAGCACTGTGGACTCAAACAATGATAGATCTGGACTAAACTTTGCACGAATACTCAATATGCCCAAATGTGAACACTGTTGCGAGTTTGGGGAAAATAGACCTTGACATTTGGGAGTTGTAGTTACTGGGATTTATAGTTCACCTACAATCAGGGAGCATTCTGAACCCCACCAGTGATAGAATTGGGCCAGACTTCCCACACAGAACTCCCATGACCAGCAGAAAATACTGTGTATCCTGATGGTCTTTGGCGACCCCTCCGACCCCCCCAGGGGTCCCGACCCCCAGGTTGAGAAACACTGCTCTAAGGCATCTTCTCTCTCCTTCAACATTTTCATGTATTCCTTATGTCTCTCTTCCCTCATCTTCTTCTGTTCTTCCTTCAGTTTGCGTTTGATCTCCTCCATGGCTATTTTCCTCCTCTCAACCTTACGTTTGTGGAAGTCTGTCAAGTACTCTCGCCGGTTTTCTTCATCGAAAGTGACGATCCTCCGGAGTGTGGCACATCCATCGCGCGTCTTCTTTTTGCGACCCATTTGCTGAGCTTTTTTCCCCGGCAAAGGAAGCCACGTTTCCTCGCTCTCTTCCACTTGACGCCGCCTCTTCTGACTCCTTGGGTGAGCCAGGCCTGATTTTCTACTGGAAAATCAACATTTTCATTAATTATGAATTACCGTATATACTCAAGTATAAGCCGACCCGAATATAAGCCAAGTCACCTAATTTTACCACAAAAAACGGGGAAAGTGGATTGACTCGAGCATAAGCCGAAGGTGGGAAATGCAGCAGCTATTGGTAAATTTCAAAATAAAAATAGATACCAATAAAATTATATTAATTGAGCAATCAGTAGGTTAAATGTTTTTGAATATTTACGTGAAAATGTAATTTAAGATAAGACTGCTCAACTCTGATTAAACCATTCTGCCCTTCTTAAATGTACATTTGCTTGAGTATCCTTCCAAATAGGATTATTACCTTCCAATAAAGGTAGTAGTAATAATAATAATAATAATAATAATAGAGTAAAATAATGGAAATGAAATAATGATAATAATAAATAGAGTAAAATAATAAATTTAATATTAACAACAATAATAAAGTAAAATAATAAATGTAATATTATTAATAATAAAACTTTATTTATATACCGCTCTATCTGCCCGAGGGGGATTCAGGACGGTTTCCAAAAAACATCACCGAAACATACAAAGTAAACAGCATAACATAAAATTAACAAAACAACATAAGCATAAAATTATCACAATAACACATGAATATTAAAATAATAATACATTTATTATGCATTTATAACAGAGTAAAATAAGAAATAACCTTGACCCGAGAAGGACTTTTTCAGCCTAAAAAAAGGTCTGAAAAACTAGGCTTATACTCGAGTATATACAGTAAATTATGTTTAAAATCTTGAAAGAGGATGCTGTCAAGGTGATGCATGCCATATGCCAGAAAATATGGAAAAGACAAGAATGGCTGTCAGATTGGAGAAAAATCAACTTACATCTGCATACCAAAAAAGGGAAATGCCTGTGTGGATGATAGTAAATTCTTGGTGGTATGGGGATAAGTTCTTGGTGGTATGGGGATACCAAATCACCTTGTTTGCCTCCTGAGGAATCTGTGCATGGAAAACCAGCCGATCCCTAATCCATCTAAAACACAGACATGTGCTTTCCACCTTAAGAACAGACAAGCATCCCAAGCTCTGAGGATTACCTGGGAAGAACTCCCACTGGAGCATTGCAGCGCACCCAAATACCTGGGAGTCACTCTGGACCGTTCTCTGACCTATAAGAAGCACTGCCTGAACATCAAGCAAAAGGTGGGCGCTAGAAACAATATCATAACCAGATACAGTGAAGACATCTGCCCTTGCGCTATGCTACTCTGCTGCTGAGTATGCATGCACAGTGTGGAACACATCTCACCATGCTAAAACAGTGGATATGGCTCTTAATGAGACATGCCGCATTATCACAAGATGTCTGCGCCCTATACCACTGGAGAAATTACACTGTCTAGCCAGTATTGCACCACCTGACATCCACCGGGAAGTAGCAGCCAATAGTGAAAGGACCAAGGCAGTGACATCTCCAGCACATCCCCTGTTTGGATATCAGCCAGCACGTCAATGACTTAAATCAATAAATAGTTTTCTAAGATCTACAGAGACACTCGCTGGAACACCCCAGCAAGCGAGAGTCCAAAAGTGGCAGGCTCAAACCCAGAACCTCAATAAATGGCTGATACCAAATGAGAGACTCCCCCCTGGGCACACAGAAGACTGGGCGACTTGGAAGGTGCTGAACAGACTGCGCTCTGGCACCACGAGATGCAGAGCCAATCTTAAGAAATGGGGCTACAAAGTGGAATCCACGATATGCGAGTGCGGAAGAGAACAAACCACTGACCACCGCTGCAATGCATCCTGAGCCCTGCTACATGCACAATGGAGGACCTCCTTGAGGCAACACCAGAGGCACTCCATGTGCCCAGCTACTTGTCAAAGGACATTTAATCAACTACCAAGCTTGCAAACTTTGTGTTTTGTCTGTCTGTTTGTTTGTTTTGTTAAAAATGTAATACAACTGTTTGGTTGCTCCTGACACGATAACTAAAAATAAGCTGTGACCAGCAGTGCTGCAGATTTCAAAGAGGCATGAATGAAGAGTGAAAGGGAGAAACGTGCCAAGAGGAAGGTGCATCAACCCAATCCTTATTTGGACCATCTTCCACCTGGAAAGCGATGTCCTCACTGCGGGAGAACATGCAAATCAAGAATAGGGCGCCACAGCCACCTTCGGACCCACTGCCAAGACACTACACTTGGAAGACCATCATCCTGAGGTTACGAGGGATCACCTAAGTAAGTAAGTAAGTATGTAAGTTAGTATGGATGTTAGTTATCCTTGAAGTGACTGGCTTAACCTTAAAGGAGCTGGGGGTGGCCACGGTCAAAAGGGAACTCTGACCTGGTCCAGGAGGTCACGCAGAGCCAGAAGCCACTGAATGAATTTAAAAAATGAATTACTCTCCCCTGGCATCACATTTCAATGAGTTGATTCTCTTATCAGCAACTTTCTTCTAGTTCAGTGGTTCTCAACCTTCCTAATACAGCGACCCGTTCATACAGTTCCTCTTGTTGTGGTGACCCCCCCGCCAACCATAAAATAATTTTCGTTGCTACTTCATAACTGTTGCTACTGTTGTGAACCATCATGTAAATATCTGATATGCAGGATGTATTTTCATTCACTGGACCAAATTTGGCACAAATACCCAATATGCCCAAATTTGAATACTGGTGGGGTTGGAGAGGGATTGATTTTGTTATTTGGGAGTTGTAGTTGCTGGGATTTATAGTTCGCCTACAGTCAAAGAGCATTCTGAACCCCACCAACGATGGAATTCAACCCAACTTGGCAGACAGAATTCCCACAACCAACAGAAAATACTGGAAGGGTTTGATGGGCATTTATCATCCAAAATCAGGTTTTAAATGCTGGAAGGGACATTGACCATGAGTTTGGGAGTTGTAGTTCACCTACATCCAGAGAGCACTGTGGACTCAAACAGTGATGAATGTGGACCAAACTTGTCATGGATACTTAATATGCCCAAATGTGAACACTGGTGGAGTTTGAGGAAAATAGACCTTGACATTTGGGAATTGTAGTTGCTGGGATTTATAGTTAACCTACAATAAAAGAACACTCTGAACCCAGCCCATGATGAATCTGCATCAAATTTGGCACACTACCTACATGGCCAACATTGAATAATGGTGGGGTTGGGAGATGTTTTTGAATTCTGGGAGTTGTAGTTCACCAACACCAAAAAGAAAGAGAAGGACAGGTGGAGAGATCTTCAGGTTTGTCTGCCAAAGCGTTCCTAATACCATCAGAAATACGTGTTTTCTGATGGTCTTTGGTGACCCCTCTGAAACCCCCCTCGTGACCCCTCCAGGGGTCCCGACCTCTAGGTTGAGAAACACTGTTCTAGTTGTCGAAGGCTTTCATGGCCAGAATCACTGGGTTGTTGTAGGTTTTTCCGGGCTATATGGCCATGTTCTGGAGGCAATTTTTCTCCTGACGTTTCGCCTGCATCTATGGCAAGCATCCTCACTACCTCTGAGGATGCTTGCCATAGATGCAGGCGAAACATCAGGAGAAAAATTGCCTCCAGAACATGGCCATATAGCCCGGAAAAACCTACAACAACCCACTGTTCTAGTTGCTGACAACAAAAGCCCCAACTAGAGAAGAATTCCCCCTTTTCCCCATCTCAAGATTTATTGTATTTACTGCAGACAATCTTCTAGAACTTGAGAATAAAAGCCTTCCTTCACAATCCTCTCAATATTTTATTTTGGCTAAAAGACGCTTTCTTCTCTGGATGATGAGATGTAAAAAGCCTGGGAAAGGAAAGTGATATCACAGTTAGAGGCTCTGTTAACTGTACTATAACGGAAGCTGACAAATAGATTATTATTTTGGAATTACAATAGGAGTAAAAGCGATCATAGCAAAACTATGTGATTTTCACTTTCACTTTTGCTCTCCAACCCCCTATTCCAGTATAAGAGTCATTGTTTTTCTGATTATATTGTGTTCACGTGTGTGTCCGTTTCCTGTCCTAGTCCGTGCCTTCCACGAAAGGCAGGAAGATTGGTGCACTCCTGGCAAACCAATCTTTCAGTTTCTCTTTTATATAATGTTCCCACCCAGTAGTTTCACAATCTGTACTGTTATGACCTGTAAACATGTTATATCACCAGAGCTGCTGGGAACAGGGGTGGCTGAATAAACCTTGGAACAGCGGGTAGCTGATCTGTTTGTGATTAATTTCTTGGGGGAGAGTCAAGTCAGGCATGTGGACATCAGGAGAAACACACGACTATGGAGGAAAAATATGTAAATGTTTGACCCAGAGCGTTGGACTCCAGAACCTGAATCTTCTAGACCTCCTGGCCACAGAAGCTTCTGAGACCTGGACACCAAGAAAAGAACTTTTCCAAGCTCTGGAAGAAACCTTTTGTCTTGCAATAGGCGTGATTGGGCAACGTGCATCTAAGGCAGGGGTCCTCAAACTAAGACTCGGGGGCCGGATACGGCCCTCCAAGGTCATTTACCTGGCCCTCGCTCAGGGTCAACCTAAGTCTGAAACTACTTGAAAGCACACCACCACTACCACAACAACAACAATCCTATCTCATCAGCCAAAAGTAGGCCCACATTTGCCACTGAAATACTAATAAGTTTATTTATTATTTATTATTTATTACTAGCGGTCCCCTGCCACGCGTTGCTGTGGCCCAGTTTGGTGATCTGGAAAATAAAGTAATGAGAAAGTGTTGGTTTCCAATATATGTAATGTCTTTATGCTTGTGGGTAAACAGTATTTATTGCTGGTTTTTTTTTGTCAGTGTTGATGTGGAGATTGTCTGGTTTGCCTACTCTGGAACATGCAACATATCATTGTCCTTCTTTAGGGATCCCTTTCAAATCTTACTGCATCCGTCATATACATATGTGTGTGTGTGTGTGTGTGAATGGATGGGTGGCCCTTTGTCAGGAGGGC